TGACAATTAAAGGATTGGATGGGATGGGATAAGATTACATTCTATGTCCCCCTTACTATCATATCAATGGATGCTACTTTTTATAAACTAATGCTGTGTAAAGAAAAGTACTGTCCTGCCCTGGCTCTTGGTTTGCTGAAAAATTCTGGCAGAGCTCCTTCAGGTGCCTCCCACACAGGACACACTATTAAGTCATCACTTTAGGTATCAACATGGTACTGTGGAGCTCTGCATCTTGTGGCCAAAGTCTAAAAGGCTTGTTAACCTCAGACCCTATTAAACCTACTGGAGTGTGACTTGGGCCATGTAAAGCAAAAGTGTTGGCTCTCAGCCTATCAGAATTCTGAGCCTCTTTCTCAACAAGGGACTAAGCAGGAGATGAGATGTTTCATTTCATTTTGTCTCTATTAGGGACTTCTATAGTCCAGGCACGGTGTGTGGTATGGGAATGCCAAAATGTACGCCAGGGGCTTGAAAACCGATGTCACTGCAGTACAATCATGAAAAGACACTAAACTAGATCCAGAAGACTTGCTGATCCTGAACAGGAAGGCCGTTTGGGAGTCATTTAACATCTTGAGACCTTTTTACTCCTCCCTTAAGAGTTTCCAAAAAAGTGGATAATTTCCGGCTTTTCTTCTAGTTCCAGACGGCTTGGATTTGGTGTGGTATTACAACATTATGGTATAGGCCATCGAGTTTCATGGATGTCAAACTACATCCTAGAGATGAATTAAACAAATTAAAAAAAAACACTTCATTATTTTTATTTTGTGTGTATGGGTGAATTCCCTACATGTATGTAAGTGCACCTGTGATGTGCAGTGCCTTCGGAGGTCAGAAGAGGGCGTCGGAAGAGGGCATCAGATGACCTGGAAGTGGAGTTAAGACAATTGTTGGCCACCATGTGGCTGCTGGGAATCAAACCAGGGTCCTCTGCAAGAGTAGCCACTGCTCTTAACCTCTGAGCCATCTCTCCAGGACCAACTTAAGCAAATTTTCAGCATGTCAAAACTTAACAGGGTTTCAAAGGGACTGAAGTGTTCTGGGAAATTTTTCTGAATTTGGCTTCTACTCAAAGCAGGGGTTTTTGTTTATGTGAATGCAGGTGACATGTTTATAGAAACTAGTCATTATAGGATCTCTTAACCTTAATGATAGTTTAATTCTTCACCCAAGTCTTACACATGGAGGTTGCAAGCTTTTAATTAATATTCTGAATTGACAAATTACACCCACATATATGGGCAGCTGGATACTTTCAAGTTTTATAGGAAGTTTAATCAATTGCTATGACTTTTTGATCCAGTTTTCCCTCCATTTGTGAAATTCAGTCTCTATTCCTCAAATGTCCACTGGTGGACACGTCTTGTTAAATGTAGTGTCAGACTTTCATTCATTAAAGCTCAAAATCAGGCAAGTTTCTTGCCTTTAGAGAATCAAATCATGCCAACATCATTTTTATGAATATTCTCTATTATATAACCTCACATTTATATCATATTTTATATAGTTTCTCTATCCACTTTTATTTGTTTATCACAAATGACTTTCTGACAGCTGAAGATAAAAATGGTATTTCCATTTTAAGGGGGAGTAACTGAGATTTGAGCACTGAGGTCACAGCCCTAGAAGTGGCCACATTGGCAATCATTCTTTTCATCTTTTTTTTTCACCAGTGAATGGATTGGTTTACTCTGCTGTTCATAGGGCATTCTTGCTCAAGGCTGGTATGTATTTTCAAACTCTTTAATAGCTAAGTGGTATCACATCACAGGGAATTCCTCAGAAATAAGAAACACATCACACTGTGAATGATTAATGTATATGCTGCTGAAAGGTATGAGTGATTAAAAGAAAGTTTGGAGAAAAATCTTTGTACTGTGTCATGAAATTGTACTAATAGTGTTGATAAGTGTAAAAAGTATCCACATGCTGCTTAGATAAAATGAACCCGAAGAGCTGAAAGGGGGGAACATCTCATAAAGAGACTGATTTCTAAGCAAAATCAGGAGGATTTGGAGCAAGAGTAAGAAATTTAACTGGAGACCAGTTACATTGCCTTTGAGTGAAATTTATTTCCTGAAATTTCACATTTTTCAATTTACACACCTGACTCTATGCTATCCTCTTCAAAGAAGTCATTGAGAGTCTCTATACTGATTCCATTCATGCTACTTACAAATTTAATCATTTCTGGAACTTTCATAATTGCTTTCTGAAATGGACATGTCCTTTTAAATATTTTAATCATGATTTAGATAAAGACAGAATAATTCATAGCCATGTCTAGAGAAGAGCTGGGTGCTTTAAACCAGTCACTTCCTTCCCTCCTTCCTCCTCTCTTCCCTCCTTCCTCCCCTCTTCCCTCCTCCCTCCCCTCTTCCCTCCTCCCTCCCCTCTTCCCTCCTCCCTCCCC